TAATCCTATTAGTGGGTATATACTCAAAGGAAAATAAATCATTCTATCAAAAGGACACATGTACCCATATGTCATTGCAGCACTATTCACAATAGCAAAAACATGGACTCAACCCTTGTGCCCATCAATGGTGGATTAAAGAAAATGTGGTACATACACCATGTAATACTATGCAGCCAAAAAAAAGAATGAAATAATGTCCTTTGTAGCAGCCTAGATGCAGCTGGAGGCCATTATCCTAAACAAACTAACAGATAACCAAACATTGCATGTTCTCACTTAGAAATAGGAGCTAAACATTGGGTACACATGGACACAAAGAAGGGAACGATAGACATTTGGGACTAGTAGAGATGGGAGAGTAGGAGAGGAGCAAGTGTGGGAGTTCAGTCAGGATGGTGGGAAAAATTTTAAGATGAAGTTATAAAATATAGACACAAATCTTCTTGGAAGGCCGGAAGGTTTTGCAAAAGTCTCAGGACAGGGTTACGGCTGAAAGCAGCCTGATCCTTACCTTGAATAAACAGCTTAGAGTAGATATGAAGGAAAGTAGTGTAGTTTATCTAAATAGCTTATTTACTTATGTGGTCTTAAGACCAACCTTTGATCAACTGTGGGTGCATAACTGTGGTGGGGTAGGGGGTGTTGGCAATTACAGGTCAATTACCCTCTAGTGGTGTTTACTCAAGACTTTTGAAGACCTTTGTCATTTAATCTATACTGAATAAATGCAAGCTTCACTGGCTGATCAGGATGGCTGCTACTCTTTACAGTACCTTCCTTGGTGTCTGTGAGGGGCCCAGACCCTTAGCTGGACTGACAGGCAGAATATCTGTGTTAGTGTACGTTATTCATCCGTTGTTGGGTCGAGGTCTGTGGGATGGGTCCCTGCAAGCAAGGACTCATAAACTACTGTTAGGTACTATGCTCACTACTTAGGTTCAATCATACCCCAAACCTCAGCATCACACAATATACCTTTATCACAAATCTACATATGTACCCTCGATTCTAAAATACAGGTTGAAAAATAAAATAAAATTACAGTCTTTCCAACCCATTTCCCTATCCTTTTACCCAGTTTTATTCTTTTTCTTTTCCCACTGGACATATTGTCTAATAACATACTATATAATTTATTTATGTATTGATTGTCAATGTTTCCTCACTATAGTGTGAGCACCACTAGGGAAGGAAGTTTTGGGAAGTCTATTTTGTCTACTGATCATTGCAGTGCCTAGAAGTGTCCCACCACATACTAGGTGCTGACAAATATTTGTTGAATGCATAAATGAGTAAAATCAGACATCTAATGCTCATCTTAAAATAGGGCTGCATCTAAGTCATCCAAGACAAAAAGGGATTTTGCCATCTTGTTCTAAAACTCTCCAGGACCCAGACTGCACACACATCCTTTATTAAGCCAATTCCGGATTACCATCACACCCTCTCCTTAAATGTAATCTTCAGTTTATTTCTGGTAATATTTAAATAAAGTAAATATGCCAATGACCAATGACTAAAGAAAACTATTTCTGTATATCCTCACCAATTTCTCCAAGGTTACCATGACTGTATTGCTTTCATTCCTTTCTTCTTCTCCTATATGTGGATCTGTCCTCATTATCCATCCTTTCACTCTCTCCAGTCCCCCCGTCTGTGGTCTCATTCACTCTATCAATGTGATTCCCAAATCTATATCATTGATTCTGCATCTATTCTTCCAGCTTCCATCGTGTATTTTCTAAGCCTACTCAGACGATTCCATTAGAATGCGTCATTGGTACCTAAAAGTAAACAGGTTGCAATTTAAATGCCTCACCTTCCCCTTGAGACTGGCTTCTCCTGACTTCCTACTTCCATTGGGCAATCAAATCCTGGAATTCTCTTTGACTCACCTTCCTAAATGGGACCCACCCTTGCCTTTGTACCTAATCTAGTTAGTTGCCAAATCTTTCATTCTTTCTTGAATCTGCTCTCATCCTCTCCACTGCTAACACCTCATATGAGACTCCTAGCTGGGTTCCCAACTCTAAACCATTTTAGACAATCAAGCTAATTAATTTTCCGAAAGTACAACTCTGATTTTGCCACTCTCTTGCTCAGGAACTTTAATAGCCCCCCATTATCTACTTAATAAAGTACCAATTCCATACCCTGGGATTCAAGATCCTTTAGGAATTGTTCCTGGACGGGCACGGTGGCTCACATCAGTAATCCCAGCACTTTGGGAGGCTGAGGCAGGCAGATTGCCTGAGCTTAGGAGTTTGCGACCAGCCTGGGCGATAAGGTGAAACCCTGTCTCACCTTATTGTACTTTTTTGTACTAAAATACAAAAAAATTAGCCCGGCACTGTGGCTTGCGCCTATAGTCCCAACTATTTGGGAGGCTGAGACAGGAGAACTGCTTGAACCCAGGAGGTGGAGATTGCAGTGAGCTGAGATCACGCCACTAAACTCCAGCCTGAGCAACAGAGTGAGACTCTGTCTCAAAAAAAAAAAAAAAAAGAATTGTTCCTAACCTTCTGTGTCAATCTTGTGTTCCACTACTTCCCAACATAATTTCAGCCCTAAAATCAACCCCATATGTTCAGTCCTATACATACGATGCACTTTCTTGTTACTGTGCCCTGACTCACACTTTCTCCACTACTCTCTGCTTCTTCTATGAAAGAAAAAAGAAACACACCACGTCAATGGTAAAAATTCATTTCCCTCCCGAGTCCCATTCCTATTAAGTTTCTTATAATTCCAGGAATGTTCTAACCATTTTCAGGCATGCCCCCAAACACACATACATTTATAACCATATATTAAAAAATCATTCCACAAGTTCTGCAACTTGCCTTTTTTTCAATTAGTAAAATTTGTGCGTGTTTCTGTTCCAGCACATAGATTAACCACATTCTTTTAAACAGTTGCAGAGTGTTCTATTGAATGGATATATCATAATTTACATAAAAGGCTCCCTGTTGATGAACATGTAATTTCCAGATTATTTATTTATTTTTTGTTTAGAGACAGGGTCTCATTCTGTCATGCAGTCTGGAGTACAGTGGCATGATCATAGCTCACTGCAGCCTTGACCTCTCATACTTCAGCAATCCTCCACCTCAGCCTCCCAAAGCACTGGGATTATAGGCATGAGCCGCCGTGCCTGGCCTCCAGAATTTTTTTTTTTTAAATCTTAACCAGTGCTGGCCAGGCACAGTGGCTCACAGCTATAATCCCAGCACTTTGGGAGGCTGAGGCGGGTGGATCACTTGAGGTCAGCAGTTCAAGACGAGCCTGGCCAACATGGTGAAACCCTGTCTCTACCAAAAATACAAAAAATCAGTTGGGCTTGGGGGTGCATGCCTGTAATCCCAGCAACTTGGGAGGCTGAGATAGGAGAATCGCTTGATCCTGGGAGGTGGAGGTTGCAGTGAGCTGAGATGGTGCCACTGCATACCAGCCTGGGTGAGAGAGCAAGACTTCATCTCAAAACAAAATAAAACAAAACAAAAAAAGGGCCAGGCACAGTGGCTCACGCCTGTAATCTCGGCACTTTGGGAGGCTGAGGCAGGCGGATCACCTGAAGTCAGGAGTTTGAGACCAGCCTGGCCAACATGGAGAAACCCCATCTCTCCAAAAACACAAAAATTAGCTGGGCATGTTGGCAGGTGCCTGTAATCCCAGCTACTTGGGAGGCTGAGGCAGGAGAATCGCTTGAACCCGGGAAGTGGAGGTTGCAGTGAGCCGAGATCACGCCATTGCACTACGGCCTGGGCAACAAGAGCGAGACTCTGTCAAAAACAAACAAAAAGCCCGGCAGAGTGGCTTACGCCTGTAATCCCAGCATTTTGGGAGGCCAAGGTGGGCAGATCACAAGGTCAGCAGATCAAGATCAGCCTGGCTAACACGGCGCAACCCCTCTCTACTAAAACTACAAAAAATTAGCCAGGCATGATGGCATGCGCCTGTAGTCCCAGCTACTCGGAAGGCTGAGGCAGTAGAATCGCTTGAACTCAGGAGGTGGAGGTTGAAGTGAGCCAAGATCACACCACTGTACTCCAGCCTGGGCATCAGAGTGAGGCTCTGTCTCAAAAAAAAAAAGCAGTACTGCAGTAAACATCCTTGCACATTTTTCTTTGCATACTTGCACAGATCTGTAGGATAAATTCCTCATAGTGGCATTACTGGGCCAGAACTAGATTATGTACATTTTAGTTACTGCCAAATTGTTCTCCTAAAGGTTCGTACCAACTATATTCTTGCCAATAGTGACTTTGAGTGTCCGTTTTTCCAAATCTTTTTATTTTTTATTTTTAAAAACAGAGATGGGGTCTTGCTATGTTGCCCAGGTTGGTCTTGAACCCCTGGCCTCAAGCAATCTTCCTGCCTTGGCCTCCCAAAGTGCTAGGATTACAGGCATAAGCCATTGCATCTGGCCTGTTTTTCCAAATCTTGACCAACCAAAGGTTGTTGAACTTTTTCATCTCTGCCAACTTGACAATTAAAAAACATGTAATTGTTTCATTTACTTTTATCCATCCCCTCTCCATCTTTTAGCCTGTTGAGAATCTACACATTCTTTAAATCCTAGATTAAAAATTCACCTTCCTCACAGATCCTCCCCCATCAAATTTCTCCTGTGTCTAAGCATTTATAGCTTTTCATTTAGACAGTTATTACACTGCTTTGAATTTTAGTGACTACTCTGTATGTTATATTCCTCTAACCATTGTAGATTACAAATTCCTTGGAAGGACCTGAACTCATTCACAGAAACACTGAATGTAGAGCTAAGCTAGAATTCTGGAGATCACGTTAACCCAGCCTCTCATTTTTATAAGGGAGTATTCAGCATTTGCAGAACGCGTTACAGTTCACAAAGGCTTTTCTCAAGACATTCTATTAGTTATATTAACTCCTCCCATTAAATTGTAAGGGAAACATCGTTATCCCATTTTACAGATAAGGAAACAACTCCAGAAGATTTACTGAGAAAGGTGATTTACTCAGAACAGGTCCGAGGTCAGAATCCAGGGTCCTGGCTTCATTCGCTGTTACTTTCAGCTGCCTCTGGTTTCCCTTACAGCACTTAGTTTACAGTCAATCTCTGGGGAATGAATAATGACCAAAAAAATTGTCAGGTGTTGACAGCAGCTTGAACATCTGTAATTAAATAAAGCAAACATGCTGACGGCCAGGGATGCCCACGTCTACACACATCTTTCGCCCTTCTTTCTGGAGTCGTCGGCAGCTTGGCCCCGGCAGCGACTAGCGTCCCCACCCGTGTAGGCAGCGTCTGGTCCACAGGGAAACACGGCTGCTCGCGGCCCCTTTAAGGCTGCGGGCGGCGCGTGCCCACAGGCCTTTCAAATGGACCAATAAAAGGCCGATGGGCGGTCTGTCGAGGACCAATAAAGAACGAGGACACTGCGGGGTGTGCGGCGGCCCAAGCGGTTTCAAACGGCTTAGAGCAGGCCCCTTGGTTCTGACCCGGCTGAGGTGAGTGGTCGGTGGCCCCACCCGCGAGGCCCTCGAGTGCAGCCATCGCGCGCTCAGAGGAGCCCCTGGATCCCGGGCTGCTGGGGGCCTCCAGACGCGCGCCTCCTTTGCCCCACGAACCCGGCAGGTCTGAGGCGGCGAAGCGGGGCGGAGGCCAGGGGACCTGCGGCGGGCAGGGCGGGGGGCGTGGGCGCTGGCGTGCTGCGGAGGCTGGGGGTGGGCTCCGGGTGGCCACAGCGCCGCCGCAGCGGGGCACGGGTGGTAGCGTCTGGGGGGCGCGGGCGGCGCCGGGCCGCGCCTGGCGGCAGCGGTGAACCGGGACTGGGGCGGGGGCCCCTAGAGCCGGCCCTGCTAGAGTGCCCCTCGCGTAATTGTCAAGCGAATGAATAAGTAAGCGCCTACTAGGGCTGTGGTGGTTGCGAAGGGCCTTGTAGCCTCGGAGCGTGGCAAGGACAGCGGCAGCGGGGCCTGGCCGCACACCTGTGTCCCTCCCGGCTTGCTGCGATGTGAACGATTCCGATCATCCACCACCCCGCCCTTAACGTTTGGCTTTCTCTCTCTCTCAAGGTGTCGAGAGCGTTCAGGTGTCCTTCCAGCCCTGGAGGTGTGGGGGAACCAATACAATAGCCAGCAATGTGGGCTGGGCCTTGCTACTTTTAGATCGGGGCTCGGTGAACTAGATTCTTACTTTTGAGCTCTCCCCCCACTTGTAATCGTGGTCATTGTTGGGCAGGATTGAAATGCATTCCGTTCTGTTTCTTGGATAGAAAACGATGAAAGGGATGTTGCCAGAGTGGCTAGTGTGTGTTAGAAAATAGATTCGTGTTGATGAATCTTAACAATGAGTTTTTCATTCAGTATCAATAGAGGTTGAAGTGGTTTTTGCAGAACTCGCCCCAAATTTATGCATGGCTCTAATTTAATTCTCATGGGACCAAGGCATCAAATCTTGGCCCAGAAATGCTGCCTTTCTTATGCATAATTATAGTAATTGAAAACTCATTTTTAGAAAGGTGAGCTCCTCCTTCCTCCATTTTCATCACCCTGAGAAGTCCTTCTTTTGACCTAAAGAGCCAATAAATTAAACTAAGAATCTTTTGAAACTTTAAGAAATTATAAAAGACTTTTGACTTCTCTGAAGTGACCGGACAAACTGTAATGCTTTTATAAAATTTAATGATATAGATAAATGTGAAATCAATTTATTTTGCTACCATAAGTTAAATCTAGTTGGTAAACTCATGTAAAATTTTTTTAAAATAAGATTTTAGGCTGGGCGCCGTGGCTCACGCCTGTAATCCCAGCACTTTGGGAGGCTGAGGCGGGCGGATCACCAGGTCAGGAGTTCGAGACCACTCGGGCCAACATGGTGAAACCCCGTCTCTCTCTCTCTCTCTCTCTCTCTCTCTCTACTAAAAATACAAAAAATGGCTGGGCGTGGTGGTGGGCACCTGTAATCTCAGCTACTTGGGAGGCTGAGGCAAGAGGATCATTTGAACCTGGGAGGCAGAGGTTGCAGTGAGCTGAGATCCAGCAATTGCGCTCCAGCCTGGGTGACAGAGCGAGACTCTGTCTCAAAAAAAAAAAAAAAAAAAATTTAAAGGCTGTTCACTGAGGCAATGGCAAGCAAAGGTATTCCGTAACAATTAACATGCCTTTTACTTTATTCTCCATTACTTTAAAGTCTTGATCAGTTTTGAATTTTGAACAGTGGTGTGTGGTAATTCCATCGCAGTCTTCTACAACTGACAGTTCAGTTTTAACAGCAGCTTTTTTTTTTTTTTTTTTTTTAGTGTTTTTTTGTTTGTTTTTTACTTTTACAGTTTATCGTAAAGGATGCTACAAATCATACAGATGAAGAGAGGCACAGGGCTAGTAGGTATGGGAGAAGGGTGTAGAGCTCTTATGCTCTCACGTGAAGTGTGTTTGAATATACCAACTCTCCTGTAAACTTTTATCTTAATTCCATCAACCCTCACTTTTCTTTTCTTTCTTTTATTTTTTGTTTTTTATTTTTTTTGTGACAGAGTCTTGCTCTTTTGCCCAGGCTGGAGTGCAGTGGTGTGATCTCGGCTCACTGCAACCTCTGCCTCCTAGGTTCAAGCGATTCTCCCACCTCCGCCTCCCAAGTAGCTGGGACTACTTGTGTGTGCCACAATGTCCGGCTAATTTTTTGTATTTTTAATAGAAACAGGATTTCACTATGTTGGCCAGGCTGGTCTCGAACTCCTGACCTCAAGTAATCCACCCGCCTCAGCTTCCCAAAGTGCTGGGATTACAGGTGTGAGCCACCACACCTGGCTAACCCTAACTTTTCTAACTGGAGCTTCTATTAGGACTTCATCAACAGGTTTTGTTTTTACAATACCAGGTAGGGGAAGTGTTCCCCAGCCAGACATAATATCCATTCCCTTAAAACATTTATGTATAGGAGACACAGCTTCCAACTTTCATAGTTCTGTCAACACTTATATCTTTGTGTTCTCTCAATTTTTTAATTTTTTTAAAATTAAAAAAAATTTTTTGTGTGTGATCAGATCTCACTCTTTTGCCCTGGCTGGAGCACAGTGCTGCGATTATGACTCACTGCAGCCTCAACCTCCAGGGCTCAGATGATCCTCCCATCTCAGCCTTCCAGTAGCTGGGACTACAGATGTGCATCACCATGCCTGGCAAATTTTTGTAGCGATGGGGTTTTTGCCTTGTTGCCCAAGCTGGTTTCGAACTCCTAGGCTCAAGGGATTCTTTTGTCTCGGCCTCCCAAAATGCTGGGATTATAGGTGTGAACCACTACGCCTGGCCTTCTCTGAATCTAGTTGTAGCCCTCTTCGGGGCTTCACCAATGGCTCTTGGTACCACTGTGCCTGGGGCTTCCATATGAAGGAGCCCCAGGAATTTCTCTTCGCCACTCCCTGACCATTTTACCTACTTGTATACAGAAGGCTTGGGGTCCCCAGCAGGTGGTTGAGCCAAGAGACTCTTGCCCATTTGTCAGTCTTTATCTTGACTCATCTACCTATTGCCTCCACAATTTCAGATCAGATTTCTCATTGTAATCTGCCTCCTGACTTATAATTTCTGCAAACTAGGGTAAATATAGCAAACTTGTTTGGAACCCCTTAATGTTGGGACACCAGCAAGGTCTTCCTTTGGCACCCAGGCTAGTCTTGAACTCGTGGGCTCAAGTGATCATCCCGTCTTGGCCTCCCAGAGTGCTGGGATTATAGGCATGAGCCACCGCACCCTGCTACCTTATTTCTTAATAACCATTTAAAAATTTCCACCTTCCAGGATGAATCCATTTGTCCTCTGTCTCACTATTCTCTTAACTTAATAGTTTTATTAGCATCTGTAAGACCCACGAGAGAAAACTGAGACAGCACATTTGATAAGGCTTCTCGAACTGTCTTTTGATTTTGCAACAGTAAGGTTATCCACATTAAGGGGTCACCCTTAACCACGGCATTTACAATGACTGGCTAGTGGGCATATTCAGAGGGCAAATGTCCTAGTCATCATAAAGCCAGTTTCACGTGGCTTGCATATGAAGCATATCCGTGGCCTTATCTGGATCTGGGGTGTTCCACTTGGCATTTATAGGTGGAATCAGACTGTCCCCTTCAGGGAGCTTGTGATACTAATGTACAAAATGAAACAATTTCTTCACATTGTACCCCCTGGTTTCTATAGTTCTTTGGTTTCGCAGACCACCTTCTTCGTTACCAAAGGTCTTAGAAGCACTTTCTGTGGTCCCGGCATAAATTTTTCCCTTGGGGGTAGCTTTGAGGCTAGTGTGAGGCGTAAGCTCTCACACTCACTGAAGTCTGAGCTTGGTCTAGCAGGAAGGTCCAACCCACCACTCTCTTTTAATTTCATTTTAGCTCTTACAGATAACAATAACCAAGGGATTTAACATTTCACTTTTTTCTTTTTTCTTTTTTTTTCTTTTTTTGAGACGAAGTCTTACTCTGTCTCCAGGGCTGGAGTGCAGTGGCACGAGCTCAGCTCACTGCAACCTCTGCCTCCCAGGCTCAAGCGATTGTCCTGCCTCAGCCTCCCAAGTAGCTGGGATTACAGATGTGAGTCACTATGTCCTGCTAATTTTTTGTATTTTTAGTAGAGATGGGGTTTCACCATGTTAGCCAGATGGTCTTGATCTCCTGACATTGTGATCCACCTGCCTCGGCCTCCCAAAGTGCTGGGATTACAGGCGTGAGCCACCGTGCCCAGCCAACATTTCACTTTTTTAATATTAGTTTGCATTTCCTTGTGCATCCTGTGAACCAACTCCCAGGCAATTGGATCCATCTCTAGATTCCATGGATAATTTTTACCTTGAGTAACTGATGGCAGCACAACTTCGGCTCCTTGCCATAGGTGACCACTTGGCCACCTAGGAATCAAAGTTCTTCATCCCTATCCTTTTATCCTTTTTCTTCCCAAACCATATGTGTCTGTGAGCCAAAGTCATTCTAGCAAATCCCAGTTCTGACACCAATTCTGAGAATATAGAATAAGAAACTTTAATAAGTTTATCTTATATTCTCACAATACAGAAAACTTCTGTGACCTCAGATGTGTGGGATTTTTTTCCCCACACACCAAGCAAATAGTTCTTCAGCAGTGGACACCAGCTGTGTGTCCTCTAATTCAGTTCAATTCTGACTTTTTTTTTTTTTTTTTAATTGAGACAGAGTCGCTCTGTCGCCCACGCTGGAGTGCAGTGGCGCGATCTTGGCTCACTGCAACCTCTGTCTCCCGGGTTCCAGCGATTCTCCTGCCTCAGCCTCCTGAGTAGCTGGGATTACAAGAACCCACCACC